TGTGATTTGTTAATACAGGGAATATTATTTGTTTCAGAAAATTCAAACCATCAAAAGTAGCTCCAATTTATTTGGAGCCTCATCAAGAGAAGAATAATGTCAGATAGCAGAAGGTAACGGCATTTAGAAGATTCTTGGATCCCACATTGCCGTGAAGATGAGCCATCTGTGACACAGAGATCTTAATTTGAAGATAGGACATTATTTTACGGCTTTACCATCTTGCCTGTGCCAATTCGTTATGAGAAACTGTAAAGAACTGTTCTTCTTAAGATGCCAAAACTGTGTGCTGATTTCTGCTCTCCGTGATGTTTGACAATAAAAGGGGTGTGTACATTGTGACTGTACCAGAATGAAAATATTGTAGATCCATAGAAAGAAGCAGGTATACCATCTGAGTTGGAGTTACAGATTTACAAGTACAGTAAATTCCTGTTTGTCTGGTATCCAGGCATCCAGGATTTTCATTCAGCTGGCAAAAGTTTCCAAGAAAATTATAAAGTCATTAAAAAAATCATGAGTGTATTTTCAATCACTATACAATAGTCCTCCCAGCTTCCACTAGCAGCGCTACCCATTATGCAGATGCCATTTCAGCAGAGGCTAGTTGAATTTGTGATCTTGTGAATTCAAAATCTTTCACCTGTCAATCTGCAGCATTGTATGGGAATAGTCCATGCAGGAACTAAAGCAAGGACATGATATTTTGATTATAAATTAGGTTTCTGCAAGAACTTTTCTCATGAAAACAGCAGATTCATGTAACTGGCAGACCCCATTCTCTATACATGCCAAGTAATTGTGGTTTACTGTACTAATTAATAAGATAGATGCATCTTCAGTATAAATGTAAACATATTGTCACGTGTTGGGTATGTAACGTGACAAATAACTTCACACCGTTCTGGATCTAGTGAATTTATTGCACATTCACTCTTACATTTACACAGTTTACAGTTTCACACCTACTGCCATCGGCAGTATCACAGTTACTCTGTTGTAGCCACTGGCGTTCACTCGATTTGACTTAACTCATAGCTGCTGGACTTCAACTCATACTGGATAGTAGTGACTCAATACTGAATCCTCCTGGATCAAAGTCAAAGTCATATTGCAACTGACGATCAGGCAGTCAGTAAGTCTTGCTATCAAGCACCCTCCTGGGGCTCATGACCAGATATTTATTACTCCACGACAGTTATGGTCTTGTTTCTGTGGGGCGCCCTCTCTGACGAGAGGATGGGTCTGTCTTTTGTATATGCTGCTGGCCCTTGCCAGTGCAGTGTTTCTCAGGTCATAGTCCCTTGGGACTTGCGACCATATTTTACTGTCTCACATTTGAGACTTCCCTTTTCATCGCCTCCTACGACTCTCAGAGTCACGGTGGGGGTCGAATACCTCCACCGTGACCCTGCGAGTTGTAGGTGATGGAGTTCCAAACTACCAAGGCATATTCCAACTTGGACCTGACTGAAGTAAAGTATAGTACATACAGACACTCCAAGGAGGGAAGTCTGTAGGTAATGGAGCGAATAAGGCCTAAGAGCTTTATGCATTCAGAAAATATGTAATTAACATGTGTGTGAAAGTGTAGCTTTGAATCAAAGGAAGCACCCAGGTCATTAATACCAGCATGACCAAGCTGATATTCATAGCTCAGAAAATGTAGCATTTTCTGTGACAGAACTGTGTTTGTATTCCCATTGTTGTATGTTGCAGTTCTCGCAGGCAACATGCATTTTGATGGAGTGTGATATGAGAGCTCCCTATTGAAACCTGTCTAAAGCATTGTATCGGCTTCCACTTCAATTGGCCTAAATTACTTTCATGTATGTTTTACAGAAGTGTTAGAAGTTACAAACGTTTGGTAAAGTTTTTGTCTATATGTAAAATGGACTCTGTATGGTGCAACTTACCTCCCTTTTGCTAGTTTCTATCGAATAAAGTACAGCCAATGATATCTCTTTCCCAAAACTCGTCCTGTAAACTGTGGCTCTCATATGTGCATACAGTATCAGCATGCGACAATTTGGATTAATCGACAGTGGCCTTTTCCAAACAACTGGTAACTTGGAAAACTGTTGTCTTCTTAGCTGTGAGGCCATGTAGACTGGTAGAATGTTACCACCACTTTGGAAGAACGTGTAAAGTGATAAGACCCTGAAGATGGAGGCCTCACATTCCTCAGTGATGTTGGTAACATTCTACCAGACTACATGGTGTCACATCCCAGAAGACTGAAATCTTTGTTGTTACAGCCAAATTCCTAAGGAAGATCTTGGCCAAAGACTTGTTCGCTTAGAGAGAGTATATATTGTAATTGCACATACAGGGAATACACAGTCATGAGCAGATAACAGTTGGTTTTGATGTGACATGGGAATTAGGTGTAGGATTGCACATACAGGGAATACACAGTCATGAGCAGATAACAGTTGGTTTTGATGTGACATGGGAATTAGGTGTAAGATAGCAGCCTTTGATTGAGAACTGAGAGTTGCGTGTTCTGAGTTTGTCGATACTTCTGAATTGCATGGCGACAGTGAGGAGGCTACGGCTGGTACTTGGAATGAAGAGTATAGCGTTCTGAGTTGTAGCAACGTGTAGTTCGGAGAGAGCCCCGCGTTTTGGAGGTGACATATTCTTCCTAAACATTGGGCCATCTCCAAACTACACGTTGGTACAACGCAGGACCCTGAATTCCTTATAGACATTGCCATGAAAATATCAAATCAAACGTACTCAGAATGTCTGTGTAAGATATGTAAGTTGCTGTCTGATTCCAGAGGTAATTGTAGATATAAATTGGATAGGAACTGCTGCAGCTTTGGGGGCTGGTGGGGTGATGTTAAGGCATTTTTGTAATTGGTATGTTAGAAGTTTCTTGCCCGCTAATTCCTCAATAATCTGACAAGCCATAGTGAACAGTTTAGGCATTGTATTGATGTAGAATTATGTAAAATGTAAATACAGTTAAAAAATAATTGGATTGGGAGTAAATTCTGAAAATTCTTGTCCTTTTTTAAAACCTATCTTGAATATTTCAGAACACCGAAACATTAAAATTCAGTGGCGTGTTGAAAGAATACATGTTGGTTGTGTTATGGAGGTAAGTAAAAATGCTTTCACTTGGACGCATAAAGAGCTGCAGTCGCATTCCCTGTGGACGTGAACATGGAACTCTCAGAAGGTAAGTTCGCTGCCCCGTCCCTGAGACCCACACATTTTACTGGTTGAATTTGCCTATAAAATTACATGTACAGTGAATTTACAAATATCCTCAGAGCCTGACTGTTTGAAGAGCCCACTTTATTATCAGAATAAACATAGAATAAATCCTTACAAGACCAGTCATGTTACATGACTCAATATGAATGGTTTGTATAAAGCTCAAGACTGGACGTACCAAACTGCTTTAACCTCCACTGAATACAGCAGTTATGACAAGCATTGGATGGCTGATCTGGCATGACAAGCGTTAGCTCAGTTGTAAGGCTTGTATGCTTGAGACCATGGGTTCAAGTCCATGAGGGTTGGGAGTAGAATAAAGTAACCAATCATTATGAAGAGGTGGAGCCAAGTTAATATGCATGAAGTCAATACTTAATGCAAACAAAGCCCTGTACTTTTTGTTTCAGTAACCTTCAACAACCTTCAAGAGCACGGCACTGCCGCATCCCCCAAGCTTTCAGCCTGGGATTTGATAGTTTGGCTGCAGATATAGCTGTATTTCCAAAGAAGGGGATGCAGTGGCCAATCAGCATCAACGGTCAGAGCCAAGTTAAAATACATGAACCTGGTGCTAATTGCAAGAAATGTAAACAACCCCCTGAACTGTCTAAACTTGTTACCTCCAAAATACCTTCAAGAGGACATTTATAGCTACAGGATGACTGAGGAGTGCTGCAGATGAATGTTTATGTGTTAGACAGGATATGAGGATAAACTCTGTTTCCTTGATTCAACATCTGAGCAAGCCAAGTGGTCAATCCTCATTCAAAAACTCATTTAATTTATGCTGAAATATCTGCTGTGGGGAATATCATTTATTCTGTATGTCTCCTGTGAGGCATGAGCTGACTGGTTGACCACAACCAAATTAATCCGAGGGCTAAAGCACCATTTTCTTGTGCACCTCAATCATGAGGTTTTGTACTCTACTTGGTATGGGGTCCGAAGCTTGCTTTCAGTCTAAAGCAGATGAAGGAAGAGGATGAGAACCAACCAATTGGCTTGCAAAAATGGCTAATTGAAGAAATGAAGTTCATCCTCATACCCTGTCTAGGAGATAAATGTTCAACTGTGGCAGTAATGTTTAATCCTCATCAGAAAGTTCACAGCTTTGGCTTGAAATGTGCTCTTGACGGTTTTAGAGGTTGTAAGATCAAAACAATCAGGGTTATATATACATTTCTTGTATCTTCAAAATATTTGCATTTAGCACTACATTCATGTATTTGAACATAGACTTGGCCCCTGATCATTGATGCTTACTGGCTATTGTAACTCATTTTTCGGAAATAAAGCAACAATTGCGGGCAAATGCCCAGAGCTGCAATAACTCGTGTTCTTGAATGTCGTTGAAGGTTATTACATCAGAAAATTACGGGTTCTGTTTACATATCCAGCTGTACCTATAAATAGTGCGGTAAACACAAAGTTCATGTTGTCTTATGTGTCCCCGCCCCTTAATGTTGGTTGGTTGCTCAGTCTACGTCATTGGGGGGGGAGGCGGGTCCGATGATAACACCTCTGCCATCCCCCGAAGGCGTGGTTTCGCTAACTGTTCCCACTGAAGTGGCCCCGCCCCTTAATGCTGATTGGCTACTCATCTGTCATGGTCGTGAAACTGCAGCATGTTCGTGTTCCTGCCGCGGTGCATCGGAAAGTACCGGGTTTTTGTTTACATTTTGCCGCGGTGCATCGGAAAGTACCGGGTTTTTGTTTACATTTTGCCGCGGTGCAACGGAAAGTAGCCGGTGTTAACGAAAAGTTCCGGGGTTTGTTTACATTTCTTGCTGTATGCACAAAATCTGCAAAAGTACTGCCCTGCTTCGGGTTTTCACAAAAACCAATCAGGTTTTCAGAAAAACCTTCCGGGTTTTCCAAATAACCGAAGACCATTAAAACGAAAAAGTACCGGGATTTTTAAATTTGCGATCAATACTGTGCTCCTGAGGTCGTTCAAGGTACCAGGTTTTCCTGATAACCGAAGGCCATCAAACCAAAAGTATCGGGTTTTCCTGCTAACCGAAGATCATTAAAATGTAAAGTACCGGGTGTTTTTAAATTTAATTCCTGATTGCAGAAATTTTGCTTGGCTTCATCCATAGCTTGTCTAGTGTGGTGAAATATGAAAGATAAAAATCTATTGATGGGGTGGGATATTGTGGGTGGTAAAGTGGTGGATCTTGAAGACTTTTCTCATTACCCACAGAAAACTGCCGTCATCCTTATTAGTAGCAACACCAGCAGTAGTAGTACCAGCAGCAGCCGCAGCATTATTGCAAAATACTCGTTCGTATGTCACGTTTCCTTTCTGTTCATATTGGTAACTGACTTACCTGTAGGAATATTTTAATGATACATCAGTCATGGATCAATAGGTTCAGGGAGGGGAGCATACACAGACAGCAATGTGATCTCATAATCCTGTTTTAAAGGAAAAAAGTTGTGACACAAGTTGATAAAATATTCTTGGGCTATCAGCTGTGTCTGGAGATAAGGAGAGATGGTCCGTGTGACATCTGGGATACTTAACCAACCGACACGGCTGAAAGCCAGAGCAGATTTCATCCGCTGTAGCTGCCATGAATGCTTCAGCTCTTGTGTTTAACATGAGGTTTACACTGTAGTTAAAAAGGTAAAGCAGGGTAATTTTATTTCAGATGTACACAGTATTTGTTACATGCCACAGGAAATTGAAAATGTGACTAGCCATACATGAATAGATAGCTTATAGCATTTTTTTTAATGTTATAAGAAACTGGCACTTTTGATATAATATTGTTAGGGACAGAAGTTATGGCTGCCATAGGAATTCTGCGTTCCAGGTATTGATGTGATGCAATGCAAGTATGCTCTGTACGCAGGACACCACTGCAGGTTAAGCAACAAATATTTAAATATGGATTTCAATTAACATTATGAAATTTCCAATTTCACAATGTGGGATATTTCATTGGGATGTGTATCTGTCTTCTCCTGGTGACAGGCATGCTGAAAGTAATGACCCCCCGATTTCTTTTCCATAAGAGCAATTTCACTGAAATAGAAATGGCTACCTTCCTTGAACTTTGTTCCTTATTTTATACAATTACTTCTCAAACAACCACTTCTGCAGTCCAGCCACAGCTGACATATTTCATGTACAGGTATTCATTAATTAATGCATTAGTTGCATTCCCAAAAGGAATCACAGGGGGTGCAATGACATAAATGATATCAGGTAGGCCGAACTTTCTCTTCTCCCCTTGCATTCCTCCTCCACACCTGCACAGCATTCTAATTCCCCCTTCTTCTGACCTCTCTTGATGGGTCAGCAATTAGTTCATACTAAAGCAAGTGTTGCAGGTCTAAATTAATTGACTGCATCAAAATGAAACAAGTTTCCAACTTGCATATACCAAGGAGTACCTGTACTTCTGTAAGAACTACATTTTCGCCACTGTCTTATGGAGGCATCACTTTTCAGCATACCCTTCCATGATGAATGTTGCTAATACCAAAGCCCACCAGTGGACACATCATGATCCAGTCTTATACCCAGTTTTGTCAAGATCTGGTTTGATATCTTCCTTCCACCACTTTTGATTTGCCAAGTGGATGCTTTCCAGCATGTTCCAACAAAAATATTGTATGCATTTGTGTTCAATTCTTTATTGGAGTCCGTCGTAACACAACAACATAACGGTCAAGGTTAAAATTACACAGCTACATGTTTCGGCTTTCTAAAGCCATCATCAGGCAAAACACATGATTACTATATTCAGACACAATTAGTAATCATGTGCTTTGCTGAAACATGTAGCTAGGTAATTTTAACCTTCACCGTTATGTTGTTGCGTTACAATAGACTCCAGTAAAGAATTGTATACAATAACACAACAGGATGCAAGGAAATGAAAAGTATTTGTCTTCCCCCACCTCAGCTACAAGTCCTTGAGGGAACTTTCCTGACAAAACTGGAAAGCTGTATAATCATCAAGTTCCTTGGTGCTGATGTTGTGTGCTATAACACTGTGTTGTAATCTGGCAGGCGGATACCAGGGTTCTTGTGAAACACAGTCTGATAGGTAGATACTAACGTTTTGGTGGAATGTGAGCCTCCATTTAGGATGACTCCAGATATCAACATTTAGGTTATGTAGGTACAGATGTTTGAAGTCACAACATGAAATCAGGTCATCCACAAACAGCAGTTTCATTTGGCTGATGATATGGGATATGATACTGTGTAGGTTGATAGAAGTTTAACGACATTTCAGAGGAACGCAATGCCTTCAGCTTCAATTTTCCATCCTGAAGATGGAGGAACTATGAAGGCAAATCAAAAAGTCTTTGCCCCAATTTTTTTTCAGCCACAATAATTCACATACAGGGAAATCAAAATAAAGGCAGTGTTCTAAGTACCTCTGACTATTTTTCCACATAGTCACCACCCCGGTTGTGGTATTTGTCTGATCGCACCACTAGTTTGGAGATGACGCTGTTGTAGAATTCGGCCGGTTGAGAGAGGAACCACTGGCAGACAGCAGTTTTCGCGTCGTTGGACATGAACCTCTGGCCTGCCAGGAACTTCTTCAGTGGACCGAAAACGTGGTAATCACTGGTGGTTAGGTCTGGACTATATGGTGCATGCTCCATAATCTCCCATCCGAATGACTGCAGTCACGCCCATGGATTCTCGTGGACCTTGTGGTTCTCCTCCATGATGCCAGGCCTCATGTGGCAAACAGGACCACCGCCCGACTGCAGTCATTCAGATGGGAAATTATGGAGCATGCATCATATAGTCCAGACCTCGCCCACAGTGATTACCATGTGTTCGGTCCTCTGAAGAAGTTTCTGGCAGGCCAGAGGTTCATTTCCAATGACACAAAAACCGCTGTCTTGCAGTGGTTCTGCGCTCAACTGGCAAAATTCTACAACACCGGCACCTCCAAACTAGTGGTGCGATGGGACAAAAGCCTGAACCAGGGTGGTGACTATGTGGAAAAAATAGTCAAAGGTACTTAGAACACTGCCTGTATTTTGATTTCCCTGTATGTGTATTATTGTGGCTGAAAAAAAATAGGGGCAAAGACTTTTCGATTTGACCTCATATATTTGTCTGCAGTGTTGGTTAAAACAAATTACATTTCAGAAGACTTCTCCTCAATAATACTGTGGAAAAGTCAAGATGTGATAGAATGTATGTAGTAGAAGTCTACCCTTATGAAGGTGGCAGTATGTTCCTCCAAAATGTTGACGGACTCCTACCCACCTACACAGCGTCACTTCCAACTTCCTCATGATCACTGCCATGAATATCTCAAATCTTGCATGTAACACTGGTGTTTGTAGATGACTGTACTTCCATTTATGAACAAGAAATACTGGCACACCATAAGCATACAGTAATTGTGCTGTACTGATTAAACTGAACTGTGATCAGTGCAGATGAATTACATTACATAATGAAATCAATTCTCAGAGCATTGTTTGAACAAGTCTTCATCACAGTAGTGAGTCTGTTAGGAAATCTGTACAAATTAATAAATGGCAAGTCTACCATTGCAACCATCTAAAGCTATCGGCCTGATGCTTCAGTGGCCCTGCCTGGGCTCCAACTGCACGTAGCCACCTCAAGTTTACAGTGAAACTTTGAGTGCATACAAATATATCACGAAATTTAAGCATTTTTATATCATTTTCCCTAAAGATGATATACATTTAAATACTACACGAAGTAAAACTATTTTATTGTATCTTTCTCAACAGGATACTGACCAATAAAGAAACAAAATCTTCAGTTTCTTTTGATAGGTGTGTCATACCTTTTGTTTGAAAACCATTTACTGAAAAATTAATTACCTATGGTAAGGACAGATAGTAATGACCATCAATTACAATATGCAGACTGCTCTGAGTGAGAATGTTACATACTAAAATCAACTCCACACATAATTCCAACCTTGCAAGTAACCACATTAACTGAACAACATATTCTGCATGCACCTAATGGAGTAGGTGTACATGTTTTAAATTATAATCCCTGTTTCATTAAGAAATACACAAATGTAACAACTTTTGTAATAATGTGATTTCAAGTTAATTTCTATTAACAAAGACTAAAACATACTGAAACTGTCTCAAATAATTAGGTGGCTGGAATATATGTGACTGAGGTTGTCAACTTACAGTTATACATTCCTGATATCAAGAAAAATGTAAGTTTGGGAACACGTGTAGTCTGTCTGTGTACCTTCATAAGCAAAGATTAGTAACACATCAGGATTACAATTCAGACTTCAGATAATGTTCAGCATTGGCTTATATAAACATTTTGGGTTCAAATCATTATCGCCACCTCCAAGAAGATGCCTTAAGATCCGTCTTACACAGTTTCATGACCTGACATTATTGGCCGAGTCTATGTGTCTTTCGAGTTTTTGTATACTTACAGAAGACTCTTGATCATCTGCATGTGGATTAAACACAGGACTTCTATAACCGCATACTCATATAAGATTTGTAACCACTGTCCAGTACAACTGATAAAAGTTGTTTTTAATGTTTCATCCTTTACATGTTTCGGTCAAAACGACCATCTTCAGAAGGATATTATCAACACTTATGGGAACTACTGTTACATGTCATAGGTATATATGTTATATCATTTAACTAATTTTAAGATGCACATTAATTTGTTAAAACATCTAAAATTATTACAAAAGTGTAAGGACAAGAAACCAAATTGGTTCTAGTTTAAAACAAATACTGAACATTATTTTGCAAACAGACTAACTGTAATAATTTTTAGATGTTTTTAACAAATCAATGTACATCTTAATTAGTTAAAAGATATAACATATGTATGTATGACATGTAGCAGTAGTTTCCATATGTGTTGATAATATCTCTCTGAAGATGGTCATTTTGACTGAAACATGTAAAGGATGAAAAATTAAAAACAACTTTTATCAATCACACTGGCCAGTGGTTAAAACCCTTACATACAGTTACTAGTGCGACAGACCAGGATGAACCAAGTTACTTTTATAACCCACTACAAATGTTCCAGTGATATATCAGTGGTGCTTTACAATGATTTGCAGTAGACTGTACATCTTCTGATTCTGTTGCTTGTATAATTTTACAGCTTTTCATACTGGCCTACAACTGAACAAGGGTTTCTTTCTTCCCTTGGAAGGATACATGTCACACTTTTCAGTGACCAACTTGCAGGCTTGAATGCAGCATTGATGGGGGGTGTACAATATTGCTATTGCAATCACGAAAGGCCAAATATAATTACTTCATGACTGATTTAGCTTAGAGGCGGTTCACCTGGTTCAAGTCCTATAAGCAAGCAACTAATCACTAGAAATTTTACTTCTTAGCTTACAGGTGCCAACAGGTTACCTAAGGAAGCAGGAGAACCACTGTACTCATTTGAATGTGACATGAACTCTGTGACCTTCCTTCCAGTACACATAGGCACTGTCGGCAGCTGCAAGCTGTGTCTTATTTAAAAATAGAGATGATATTCCAGGCAGTAAGAAACAATAAAAACATAAGTCCACGCCAAAGTTCAGAGTTGGTGCCAGCATATTTCATGAAGAATTTGCAGTTTTGTTTTTGAGATGGTTGCCCTGAAAAAGAAAGAAATAAAGAAAATGTAGTAATGCTCATGTTAAACTTGAAGATCTCACAAAAACCTCACATGGTGGTTTTCTTTTTGAAAATGAAATTTCATATTCTGCATCAAAAACAGAAATTTTTAGTAAAGCTTCGCAGTACCAAGGAGGAGAGTCTTATTAATCAATCCATTATTAAAATGACATTTTATAGTGGACAGTATACAAATTATAACAAGACAAGTGACATGCTCAGAGAAAAACAAATATTTACTTTGCAGCAGTATAATCACCATATGACATTATCGACATTACTATATGGCTTCCCATCTACTCAGCCTTTAAGTT